GGACCACCCCTCAAGATGCCACCCCCTCTTAGACTCATCTAACACACACCCCAACCCTCCTACAGCCCCACCTCCCCGTTTCCACAGTGCTCCTGGGGCTCCTCAGGACCGCATCCTCCCTGGCCTGCAGCCACCTGAGCTAAACAAACCCATCTTTTTATTACAGGGATATTTCTCATCTTTGGTCAGCGGGCTCCAAAAACGAAAAAGCTATTCAAGTAAAGTGCTTCTGCGTGTCTTATCGTTATTCTTTTCCAAGTACCCTGTTTCACAGAAGATCCCATTATAACAATAACAAAAGATAAAATTCTTAGAACATAGCGTGATAAAAAAGAAAAAGTTTATGTGAAAAAATAAGCACATACAAATAGCAAAAGGAAAAAGAAAACCAACAACTGAAAAAGAAGGATAATGAGGATATACTACCCCTATCAGATACTAAAAGACAATAAACATACAGTACTAATGCACTAATAGAAGAACCAATGGAAAATAACAGAAATCCCAAAATGACCCCAAACACCATACACCTAAGGAAATTCAGTTAATGATTTTACTGGCATCTCCAGTTGATGGGGAAAGATAGTTGCAATGGTTAATTTTACACGTGATCTTGGAAGGTACTGTAAGTGAAATTAACAATTTCAACTGGAGACTCTGAGAATAACAGATTGCTCTCCATAATGTAGGTGGGCCTTATCCATTTAGTTTGAAGGCCTAACTAGAATCAAAAGACCAGCCCCATCTAAGCAAGAAGGAATTACCCAGCAAGCTGCCTCTGACTTCATCAGACCATCGGCTCACCACCTGCCAGCCCATACTGCAGGTTTCGGAAATGAAAACTCCGTAAGCATATGAGCCAATTCCTTATAATAAATCTCCGTGTGTGTGTGTGTGTGTGTGTGTGTGTATTTGTGTGTCCACGCACGTGCACGTATGAGCACAATTGATTCTATTCTATTATTCTACTCTATTGATTCTGCCTCTGGAGCTAATAACTCATATTACAGACAAAGGCCCAGTCTCCCTAATATACAAAGGGTTTTTAAAATTATTTTTAAAGACCAACAACTGAAGAGAGAAAATTCAAAATAAAAATATATAAATTTACAGTTCCGGAGAAAGGAAACACAAATGCTTAATACACAGGACAACACTCAACATTACTCATAACAAGATAAATGTACACTAAAACTGTATGCTTAGAAAAAGAAGTGTTTCAGATTTTGGGATATTTGCATATACACAAACGAGATATCTTAGAGACGGAATCTAAGACTAAACATGAAATTCATTATGTTTCAAATGTGTCTTACATATATGGCCTGAAGGCAATTTTATGCAATATTTTAAAATAATTGTGCAACTGAAACGATGTTTTACATGTGTTTTGAGTGTGACCCATCACATGAGGTCAGGTATGGAATTTTCCACTTGCGGGGTCATGTTGGCACCCAGAAAGTTTCAGATTTTATAGCATTTCATATTTCAGACATTGGGATTTAGAATGCTCAATATGTACCAGATTGGCAAAAATCCAGAAACTTTGTAAAATCACGCTACTAACACATATGTAGGAAGAGTCCTCTCACGTGCAGATAGGAGTGTGAATTGGCTACAACCTGCAATACCCACTGGGAATGCAAATGCACACACCCTTTGCCCAGCACTGTGGCTTCCCGAATTCATCCTGCAGATATTACTGCCCGCTTATGAAATGACACCCACACAAAGTTTAGCATGGCATCATTGTTTCAATTCAAATAACCAGCACTAATCTAAATGTTCCTCAAAAAGAACTGGTTAAATATATCATGGTGTGTCCATAAAATGTAATGAAGCTATAAAAAAAAAGGAGGGACTGCTGTATGTGCTCCTTTGGAAAGATCTCCAGAAAATATATCTAAGTGAGTAAAGAAGGGGATGAGAAAAAAAAATACATGGAAGAAGGCATATAGTATATACTATATATACACCATCATTTGTGTAAAAATAGGGTGAAAAATAAAAATACGGTGTTGTGCTTCTTGATATAAAGAAACTCAAAAAACATACAATAAACTATAAATGGTCATCCAGTCAAGAACAGGGGTGGTGACGTGGGCAGAGGGAACTAAGATGGGAAGAGACTTTTCTCAGAATCCCTTCCTTGTACTTTTTATTTTTTGAAACCAATGAATGTATTGATTAGCCAAAATATTAAACATATGAAAAATATTGAAGACACAATATGAGGTATCTTGATGGAACCCTAAAATTACCATCTGTATCAATCGCATTAACAAGACACTACGTACTACTAATACTTGCTAACTGACTGTCTTATGCAAAAGCAAGAGATTACGTAAACCACATTTGAAAACAAAAGGAAAGACTGCATAAAGAAATGTTCTGGTCGTTATGAAATACTGGCTGGTTAAACTAAATATGGTTGTTTCTTAAGTTTTTAAAGGTATGTGAATTCAGTGTTATTAAGATTTAGCTTGATTTTGATAATATTTTAATGGTAATTTTTACTTTGTTTCAGGATAGATTATTTAGGTTTTGGAGGTGCTAAATATATCTATAATGCCAGGTATCATTTTTTTGAAAAACTTTCCAAATCTATCTGGCCATCCAACTCCCTAAAATCCAAGACTGTTCCTGTCGAAGCAGACCATCCGATGCGGGCACCTAAACGTCTCCAACTTTCACCTCTCTACCCCACAATGAATATAACTCAGACATTTTATAGTTAGGGAGTACGAACCCAAGAACAAATTTCCAATGTATTCTGAGCAATGTTTGGTTTTATTCAGAATATGCAAAAATTACTACAATTACATTAAAAAGGCATGGTTATAGAATATATCTTACCATACAATTTATTGTATTCAAATCAATAAAATAATGATAGTAATAATCAAAGCATAAGATAGACTGAAACTAAGCACATTAAAATAATATTCATTAAGATTTTACCTGTAGGACGCTTTAAATATTTAAATATGAAAGATATTAAATAACTAATTGCCATGTGCTAGAAGTCATCAGTGAATAGTTTTTAAAGGAAGTAAATTTTGAGCTTGGTCTTGAAGAAAATGACAGGCATTCAGAATCCTTAATCAAACTGGTTTTATGATCAGAGATTCATTTCAGCATACTACAGTCAAATGAGTAATATAATTTATCTATTGAGTCCTTAAATTTTGATGACACGACAAAACACTCTGGGTCTACAGATATGTTCAATAAGGCTCTGAAAGCCCCTTGAAAAAGGTTATAACTTTATCAAAACTCCAGATACCAGCCTCTCTCATCTAAAAAGAAATTATATTAAAGTGTTTTAAAATTTTCATACACTTTAATAAAAGATTTGACCAGGTAACTATGAAATGATGTACATTCCTACTGCTACAAACCCCATATGTTACCACATTTTTTTTGCGACAGAGTCTTGCTCTGTTGCAAGGCTGGCATGAAGTAGAGCGATCCCAGCTCACTGCAACCTCCACCTCCTGGGTTCAAGCTTTTAAAAACATGTATGTGAAAACAAGACTGTACTGGGTCTCAAATCCTAGCTGCTGTTTTAACATGTTTTGCTTAAAGTCATAAACTCTGTTCAGAATTCTCTGGTAAGTCACATGGAAGTGGACTCCAACAAACCCAAGAAAATATTTAAGAAACCAGCCAAACTGATTAAAATTAAGCTCCATAAATTTATTTCTATTGCTTAATATCCACGATCTATTCAAGCCACAAAAGAAGTCCTTCAAAAAGGAAAAAGTCGACGCTACGTGTCCATCTTCTCTTTGCTACCTCACCACACAAAAGAGAAGGAAGAAAGTATTAAAGTGGAAAACTATATATATGTGTGTGTGTGTGTGTATATATATATATATATATATATATATATATTTTTTTTTTTTTTTTTTTTTTTTTTTTTTTAGACAGAGTGTCTCGCTCAGTCGTCCAGGCTGGAGTGCAGTGGCGCGATCTTGGCTCACTGCAAGCTCCACCTCCTGGGTTCAAGCCATTCTCCCGCCTCAGCCTCCTGAGTAGCTGGGACTACAGGCACCCACAACCACACCCGGCTAATTTTTTGTATTTTTAGTAGAGACGGGGTTTCACCATGTTAGCCAGGATGGTCTCGATCTCCTGACCTCGTGATCCACCCGCCTCATCCTCCCAAAGTGCTGGGATTATAGGCTTGAGCCACCACACCCGGTCGGAAAATTTTATTTTGATGCTTATGATTGGATGTGCTATGAACATTTTATCTGGATTCAGAGTAAAAGTCCCTCACTCACTGCTCCTTTTCATGTCACTCATTAGTGACAGTCTCTAAAACATAAGGAAACTGAATCATTTTATCACATAACATATATACTATTTTTCTAAAAATTCTGTAAACTGAAATATATAACCCAATAACCTAAAAGAGTATTTTAAACTAGAAACTGCTTGACATAGTTAAAGTACATGATTCCAATTAGTATTTTAATATATTGCAACTGAAGTGAATATCTACTTATAAGCGAGTTTAAAGAGAATAACACAGTCAAAGGCAACAATGTTTTCACACAGTAACACTTACCATTAAAACAAAACAAAACAAAACAAAGGTCAAGATAAAAATACCATGCATGTGCCAACTACAAGGATTAAATGATTGATAAAATCCTTCTCCTGAATAAGCCTTAACAAAGTGGCAGAGTGCTTTCTTGAACGGTTCAGAACACAAATGACAGGGAACAAGTAATGACTGATAACTTCCTGCTGCCACTAACCAATAATGCAAACAGCTATTAAACCAGTCATTCTTCTCACCCTCCAATCTCAGAAGGGGAAAAGACAGAGGGAGAGATGGGGTTAAATTAGGTTATAGTTGTGCATTTTCTCAAAACTAATTTTTTTTCCACTGAGAATATAATTTTTAATAAAGGACAGGAAGATGTTTCAGAACCGGGTCTGCCTCGGTGGAGAAAACAGGGCCCTGCGGGCCAGTGCGCTGTGCTCACCTGCTGCGGCTGGTACCTCTGCTGGGACTGGGACGGCAGATACTGCGCCTGGGGCGGGAGGTGTGGGGGCTGCGGCTGCTGGCTGTAATATGGCTGTTGGCCCTGTTGGCAGTAACCACTCACACCTTGCTGTCCATACTGAGGAGGCATCTGTCAAAAAGTCAAGCAAAGCAAATAAGTCAAAATGTGCAATTAAATGAAATTGAATATGGTTTCAATTCGGCAACATGAAGGGGGTTCTCTGCTAAGCAACTAAACTCAGTATTTGTAATCCTCTCTTCATTAGACAAACTGACATGCTGCTTTCTATTAACATACTATCAATGAAGTCAAAAGGCAATCTGACTTTGCCTTTAAAAACCATCATATTCTATCAGATAGAAACTATTGAATAATACCATAAAGACGGAGTAGGGAGGAAGTGCTAAATACTGAGACTAAAAAATAGCCTCTACTAAGAAAGAGACGCATGATATGAAATCCACTCCCACGTAACAGTGAAAATTAAAATGAACTCAAATAGTCCAGGTTAACTCAGTAATACTTTATAGGAGGCTTGTGGTTGGGAATGCTTTATTATGGTATATGTTTGTTTCTAAGTTCAGAATAAAAAAGTCAGAATATACCAACTGCCTTTACAGCACATACATACCAGTTAAATTATCAATTTTATTTACTATTTTTGCTAAGGATGGCATTTTCTTAGTTGATAAAACAGGTAACAATGTAAAGCAAGGCATATGACAGTGTAAATACCAGAGGTATAGACAAAAATGGCCTCAACCAATCTTCTCCATCTCTAATTTACATCAGCCTAAAAATGCCTGAAAGCATCGTTTAGAGGAAAATCCTTCCTCATGCAGTAAATACACCATGGATAGTATTTTTGAATTTTTTAAAATGAGAAATCTATTGCCTCTTTCTGTAATTTCAAGAGAGAGCAGGAAAGGAAAAGAAAAACAAGATATCAGGACAGCAAAATGTACTCTAGAGACAAGAATGGCACAGTCATTTTGTTTCATACCACAATACGGCCCATTGGAGAACTTCAAGAACTGGAGCCCCATAGGCAGACACACTTACGAAATTAATGATGAGCACCAGATACGCACCTAAAACCCAACCCCACTATAGAAACGCTGAATGAGGACACAGATGAAATGGTAAAAGATGAAAGGAGTAAAACCCTTAGCCTCTCAGAAAAATCAGCACAGTAATTCCTAACACATACAATGGGGTAAAAGGGGGAAAAAAATGAAAAAGTTAAAGTTCCTATATTTCTTTCAATCCAATCCAGATTATTTTCAACATCTACCAAAAAGGATGAGAATAAATGTGACCACAATGTCTCACAGTACCTCTCATCACACAGAGCCTAAGTTGTTGGAGCAGAAAAGTCTGCATTGAAAGCCATTTAACAGCACAGTTGAATTTTTTGCTTTTATTTATTTTACAGCTTGATATCTCATAATGAATGTATGTCCCTGCCACAAGCCAAGCCAACGAATTTCCATAAAATACAACTCCACATGCTAGAATACCATATACCACTACAACACACATCCTTCCGTTCAACACCCATATGTTTGATTTGATATCTAATACTATATTTCACACAAGCATCTTTGCAGTTTGATTTAAAGCAGTTAGGATAACACTTCTGCCAGTGTTAAAATGACTGTAAAGCTCAGTCAACACAGCCAGCAACTCCCCTATGAATTGCGCTTTAATATGTTGACTTTCTGGTTACAGAAACCCTCACACACAATATGGAAGTGTTGTTTGGGGAGGGGGCGCTGTTTTCTAAGCAAGACAACAACAGGACAGATTGCAGGAACCCACTAACACTAGAGCAGCCACAAGCTGACTAGAATTTTTTACTACCTAGTCCAGCTCCAGGAAGTTTGGGTGCAGGGTGTGGGGCAAGGAGGAGGATAGGTGGGCACAGCAGAAATCTTCAATGGAGCAACCGCCTACAGAACTGAGCAAACTGAGACCTGGGTGCCCTCAAATATGCTCCTCCACAATTAAAACCAATTTGCTCTCCTTTCAGACACATGGCTCATTCATCCATTTAGGACCAACTTCACTGGCACCCACCTTCTGCGAGCCTGGGCTGAGGAAATCTGGAACAGCACAGAGGGGCTCTCCCTGAGACCTGGGGCCCGGTGCCAACCAACTGGACCCGGTCAGCTGTCCTTCAACGGGAGCCGTGACGGGACGGATTGCTCAACTCTAGTTTACCCAAAGAATCTTTGGGTTCGAAATACATGGACTCTAAGTCCAATTCCCTTTGCACGTGAGTTGTGTGAAAAAAAAAAAAAAAAAATATATATATATATATATACACACACACACACACACACACACACACACACATATATATATATTTTTTTTGAGACAGAGTGTCTCGCTCAGTCGCCCAGGCTGGAGTACAGTGGCGCGATCTTGGCTCACTGCAAGCTCCACCTCCTGGGTTCAAGCCATTCTCCCGCCTCAGCCTCCTGAGTAGCTGGGACTACAGGCACCCACAACCACACCCGGCTAATTTTTTGTATTTTTAGTAGAGACGGGGTTTCACCGTGTTAGCCAGGATGGTCTCGATCTTCTGACCTCGTGATCCACCCGCCTCATCCTCCCAAAGTGCTGGGATTATAGGCTTGAGCCACCGCACCCGGTCGGAAAATTTTATTTTGATGCTTATGATTGGATGTGCTATGAACATTTTATCTGGATTCAGAGTAAGACTCTGGATTCAGAGTCAATCACATGACTCTGCCTTACATCTCCAACTGCCTTCCCAAGTTATGCGGATGCCCTGCCCAGTCCCACCTGGAAGTCTATACAGGTGCCATTAAGATTTATTAAACTAGAAGTTGTAGTGCTGTCTGTAAAATATTAATTATTTCCTAAATGTTACCTTTAAAAACCAGTTTCTCAATTAGAATACCCCAGCTGACTGAAGCTGAAGTCTAACTCTTTTTTGTTTGTTTGTTTGTTTGTTTAAGACAGAATTTTACTCTTGTTGCCCAGGCTGGAGTGCAATGGAGTGATCTCAGCTCACCAAAACCTCCGCCTCTCAAGTTCAAGCGATTCTCCTGCCTCAACCTCCCGAGTGGCTGGGATTACAGTCATGCACCACCATGCCCGGCTAATTTTGTATTTTTAGTAGAGACAGGGTTTCTCCATGCTGGTCAGGCTGGTCTCGAACTCCCAAACTCAGGTGATCTGCCCATGTCAGCGTCCCAAAGTGCTGGGATTACAGATGTGAGTCACCATGCCCGGCCTAAAATCTAACTCTTTAATGATCACTATTGTTTGTGTGTTAATGCATTCAGATGCAAGGCTTTGAAAGATCTAATATATACTATTCAGACTTCTGAAACTAAATAGCATTATGAAACACAAATCAACAGGCTGCCCCATAAGACATGGAAGGCCCTAGAGCCTTCTGCTGGATGCTGCAGACAACAGCTCCTCTGATTTCTGGTGTCTGGGTGGCTGTCCCTCTCCTCAAAGGCCATCAGAGCACGCCAGCACTGCTCACCACTCAAGCTCAATCCCCACCCGAACCCCGTTAGGCTTCTAATGTGCTGAGGACCAAGACACCCACACACGCTGCCCGCACAATGAGGGCCCAAAGGACCAATCCGTGAGGAAAGCACCTGAGCTTCACTGTCCCAAGTTTTGCAAACCCTATTCTGATTGCTGAGAGTTTTTAAATCGTTTAGTTCTTAACCATATGCAGGATAACTAAGATAACCAGACGGTTGCATGCAAGTGACATGCAATCAACAGTTACTGAGTGCCAGCCAGCAGTTGCTGGGAGCTGGGGACACAGAGCACTGGTAGCTGAGGCAGCCCTCCCTCCCCAGTCTAACCCTAACCATGGTCATTCTCCTGCCTTGAAAAACCTGATCTTATCACAGGGGAGACTGATTTAGTTATGTACTGAAACCCTTAACTACGTGTTCACGTTTTTGCTGTCTGTCCTCATCACTAGAATATAAGCTCCTGGAAGAGGATCTGAGCGTCAACAAATACCTATTGAATGGTAAGTACTGTTCGATGATTACTAAAGCAAGCTATTATTATATGAAAAATTTTAATGAATCAAGGAACACATTATAATATGGAGATCTCTTGACTACCCAAATCTGACACACATGTTCAGCTTCATCTACAGCCACTGAACGGTACGCTAACAGCACAGTGTCCTTGGACAAAAACCGCTGGCCCACAGAAGTCCTGACTGTCCAGCGCATGCTTTGCCTCGAACACAGTTCTAACAATACATATATATTTTGAACCTGCAAAACTGAACTAAATGGAGATCTTTAAAAAAATGCCTCGGATCAGAACATTTCCATTTGTTATTTAAAAATAAGAATCTGGTGGGGCACGGTGGCTAAAGCTTATAATCCCAGCACTTTGGGAGGCCAGGGTAGGCAGATTACCTGAGGTCAGGAGTTCCAAACCAGCCTGGGCAACATGGCGAAACCCCGTCTCTACTAAAAATACAAAAATTAGCCAGGCATGGTGGCACACACCTGTAATCCCAGCTACTAGGGAGGCTGAGGCAGGAAAATCACTTGAACCTGGGAGGTGGAGGTCACAGTGAGTCGAGATCGCTCCAGTGCACTCCAGCCTGGGCAACAGAGCAAGACTCTGTCTCAAATAAGAAGAAGAAGAAGAAAAAGAATTTGCTTCACTCATTTCTAAATAAAGACCTTTAAGACATGAACAAACACAACAAAAAAAAATTTACAGCTAAAAATGATTCACTTAAATATTTATTTTAGAAAATTAACCCAATAAAGAACACAAGTACTACCTTCCACATTTCTGTATCATGTTAGATATGAAGGGTCAGGACTCATTTTTCATTTCACCATACCCTGAACTTTTGGCTCATCCTCCAAAATTAATGAAATGACCAAAGGTTACCCTCTCTCCCTTTTTCCTTCTAAAGAAGTTTGGTTTTGTTTGGTTTTGTTTGAGATGGAGTCTCACTCTGTTGCCAGGCTGGAGTGCAGTGGCGTGATCTCAGTTCACTGCAACCTTTGCCTCCTGGGTTCAAGTGCTGCCTCAGCCTCCCGAGTAGCTGGGACTACAGGTGCCCGCCATCATGCCCAGGTAATTTTTGTATT